GGGCTTGTGGCTCTCAGAGCCTATCAGGGACTGGAACATACAATGAAGTTGTGAGTTGGCCTCACTCCAAGCCCAGCCTCCAGCACCACTACCCTCCAAGAAAGTGGCCTGCTCCCCATCTTGATAATCTGTCTTGCCTGAGATTTTCAACAATCCCTCTGCCAGAGCCAGAGGAGGGTTTAGGGACCAGTGCTATCCCTGGTTTCAGTGGCCTGAGAGGATGGAAAAGGAAAGGAAGTCAGGTGAGGCCTCCAGGACTCTGCTTGATCAACACCACACAACCACTAGGGGTAGGCCTTAATTTGCCTTGTAATGCAGATGAAGCAAAAGAGGCTCAGAGAGGTCAAATCTTCTGCAAAAGGTCATGCAGCTGGTCAGTGGCAGGCTGAAATTTGAATCCAGATATGTTCAAGGCTTGTTTTGATTCAAATCAGTGGGCCTGGAGCAAAGCCCAGGGACATGGCCAGCCTCCCACACTGTAGATCCCAGCTCCAGACCGGCCCACATAAGCCCCAAGGTTAGGAACAGTCACATGATCATTCTTCATGGTTCCTTCTGTGACTGGTACAGTATCTATTACAGAGCAGGTAACTGTTACTGTTTCACTTTGAATGCAAGACCCAGATAGGGGGCACAACGGCTCTGAAGGGACTCAAGAGGCTGCAGCCCCAGGCCTGGCTGGGACCAGTGGCCTCCAGGAAATGAAGAAAAGCAGGGATCAGGCCCTGGGAGAGAGGACCCTCTCTCTTCACCTGTGAGCCTCAGGAGACAGGAGCATCTCTCAGTCAAGGTGTAAGCAGCTCTAGCATGCCCAAGGCCGGGATCCTGCTTTGAGACCATGCTGCCATTCCCCTACCCCGGCCCTGTACGACTCACCATGGTGGGGAGGCTCTGAAACAGGCTGAGTTCACACCGTTGCACTGAACTGCTGGAGGATGGACAATCCTGTGCTACCCGGGTCTGAGTACAGTGGAGGCAGCAGCAGCACCTGCAGGAGTGGGCAATGGTACAAGCTGCAGAAGGCACTCACAGCCGACTGGCACAATCACGCTTAAGCGCCCTAGTAATTAGGGAGCTGCCCCAGACTTCGGTCCAAGTCCAAACTCTAGTACGTGGGCTACAGATGGAGAAGAGTGTGGGGTTGACCAAGGTTCATGCCTGCACTTGGCTGCCAGAAGACAGATCAATCCATGTCAGGCACAGGGCTGCCTTTATGCCCAGGAACAGCACCCACTTCATCACTAAAGAACAGTGATCCTCAGAATAACTATCCTTTACACGGGCATCACATGCAGTGAAAAAGTTAACAAAGCTCTTCACACGCTTGCCCTCACTGTCCTTGGCACCAAAAGGGCAGGGAATGGGGGGAGCTAGCCAGGTTTGTGACCCATTTTACTTCCGGCAAACAGACTCAGAGAGCTCTAGGGACCTGTCCAAGGTCATACAGGTAGGAGCCAGGATCTAAATCCATGTCTAGTTTTTCTACCAGGAGTGTGTGTTTACTACTGATAATTCCGTGCCTCCAAAGTCAGGCAGAGTCTCTGCTGTGGCAAGGGCAAGATGTAAACCACGATGACGTTCTAGCTTTCCTCAGTTCAGCCTGGTTCAGCCGCGTGTTGGCCTCTGTGTGGGTGCACAATAGGAAGAATCAACATAGCTCTGCCTCAGCCTACTTGGGGTTGGGGGGAGGGTCTTAGGTAAACCAATTCCTCCCTAAGCCTCAGCTTCCCCATCTGTAAAATGGGGGTTGGCTCCTCTCTGGTATTCTGCTAGTGTGCCAAGCCATGTGGTTCTCCTCTTGTTCCCGGGGAGCCTGTTTGATGTGGGGCACCCTGGAGGCTGCAGGGCTGACTGCCCTCCTGGCTCATTAAGGTTCCCTACGGAGAAATGTTGGTTTTGTGTTTGAGGTTCGAATTTGTAGAGTAACAGGGGCACCAATCACGTTGGGCAAGCAGACCAGTGGGCCTTTTGAAGTCTGAAGAATCAACGCGCAAAAGGGAGGGGGTGAGCCGGTGGTCGTTCTAACGTCAGGCGAGGGCACCAGCTGGATCTGGAGGAACTGAGAGAGTGAAAGGAAGGCAGGCAAGGTTCTAGTCTGGGATGTGCACGAATAGCGGTCGTCTCCCTTCCCTCTCTAGGCCTCCGCAGTCCTTCCCGTTCCAAAAGGAGGAACAGCCCCAAGGGCTCCTGGAGCAACGGAAGAAAGAGGAATGGATGCGGGGAAGGGCAAAGGGCGCGGAACGGGGTGGGGAGTCCGCGGGCGAGCTCCGAGGACACTGGCGCACCTCCCCAGCCAGCTCACAGCCGCATCCGCCACCTCCGAAGGCTCCGCGACTTCCCGGGGACCCCCAGTGGTGAGCTCTCATCCGGGTCCTGCGGGCGCTGGCGGAAAGAGGCGAGGCGGTGCCTCCGGGGGCGGGGCCTCCTTCGGTTGGCGGCCTCGGGCTTCGGGAGTCCTCCAAGAGGCCAGGTGAGGCCGTCCCGTGATGCCCCGCGCCCCGGCCGCTCTGGCCTGCAACGTGTCTCTGGGGCGGAGGCAGCGGCAGTGGAGTTCGCTGCGCGCTGTTGGGGGCCACCTGTCTCTTCGCTTGTGTCCGTCTCTCTAGTGTCGCGCTCGCGTCCCGACGAGCCGCTCTAAGCCTCGACATGTCGTACAACTACGTGGTAACGGCCCAGAAGCCCACCGCCGTGAACGGCTGCGTGACCGGTGAGGCTGCCGGGGCCGGAGACCCCGGCGAGGGAGGGAGCTGGGGGGAGCCGCGGCCTAGGGAGGCCCGCGGTCCCCGGGGCGGCCGGGCAGGAGTCGGCTCGGCTAATGGAAGGCCCTGGCGGCCGAGGAACCTCCCCAATCCCGCGACCTCGAAAGAGCCGTCCCAGTACGCGCTTTTTGGGGCTTGGAAGCCGCTCTCGAGGGTCCCCTTTCGTCCTGGGGAGGTCACTCGGCCTCGAGGACAGGGCGGGCCCAGTGAGACAGAGGAGTGTGAGTTGGTTGTGCGGTGTTATTTGGCCCGGAAGATTGGCCTCCTGTGGCCGGGAAAGGGGGAGGTGGTAATGGCGACTTTGGGGTCAGGTTTTTCCTGTGGGGAAGTCTGGGGGGCCCAGGAGGTGGAGGGATGTGAGGAATGCCCGCATTATCCTACAGAGGGAGAGGAGCCCTCTTCAGGCTAACCCCTTTGCCTGGGGCAGTTGTTTACATGAGGGCCGTGCTAGAGAAGAGGGTTTGGTTTGCCTGGCCCAGTGCTGGGTTTTCCTTATTGACGATGCGCTTGGACTGTTAAGGACACCGAAGTCCAGAACCCGGGAAGAGTCCTCTTAACCCACATTCTCAGCTGAATATGCCGACCCCAAGCTTGCATGTTTATATACACCCTAATCACGATTCCAAAACAAAGCTGTTTTTCAGAGTTGGAGGTAGCTGAGTGTGGATGGGGATATTGGTAGACTACCAGGAGGGCAGGGAGTGTGGACAGAACAGTGTTTTCGTGTAAAGCTCGGGGACTTTTCATTTGACTTGGTCTGTCAGATAAAAGTTTTGTGAGGCTTTAGATGAACACTGGAAGAAATGAACACTTTCTCTGGCATTCTCAATTAGAGCCTGCCACTGTAACCGTAATAGGAAGAGTAAAATTTGAGGGACGAGAGCCATGAGAAGGGATTACGAAGTCATTGTCAGTTGGAGGACACACGGCTCTTAGGTCCAGTCCAGTTTTCTTAGTCTGATTAGGAAAGTAGCTTTGTTGAATGCATGAACTGAGACTCTTTGAGGTGCCGGGTATGATAAGAAGGGGAGTAGTACCTGGAGGGAGTTGGAGAAGTATGTGAAGTAAATGAGAATTTTGGAGGTATTTAGGCATAAGTGATAGGATTATTTTGAAGGGATGGGAGGCCCTTCCCCTGAGTTCAAAAGTTAGACGGTCTGTTCTTTCAGGACACTTTACTTCAGCCGAAGACTTAAACCTGTTGATTGCCAAAAACACGAGATTAGAGATCTATGTGGTCACTGCCGAGGGGCTTCGGCCTGTCAAAGAGGTGGGCATGTACGGGAAGATTGCGGTCATGGAGCTTTTCAGGCCCAAGGTAAGTGTTGCAGTTGGGACAAGCAGTGGAGGGAGAACTGTTGGTTGTAGGTTGTTTTATGTTGTTTTTGTTTATTTATTTCCTTTGAAACGGGTGTCTCACAGTGTTGCCCAGGATGTCTTGAACTCCTGGGCTCAAGCAATCCCTCCGCTTCAGCCTCTGGAGTAGAGTAGCTGAGTGATTGTAGGCATGCGCCACCGTGCCTGGGCTGTGTTACGTTGTTTTGCGAATTCTTGGGATGGGTGGAATATACGTTAGGAGAGAAACTCTCTTCTCTTTTTTCTCTCTTTGGATGGCAAATTTCAGTATGTACTCTTGACCAAGCTTTCTAGAAGTAAAAGGAGAGATTTATTAGGGAAACATTTATGAAGTTGACTTCTTTAGGAGACAGAAATTAAAGCAGTTTGTTTCAGAGGATGGGTTACAGAGTGGGGCAGTCCTGGCTTCATTCCTTGTTAATTCTGACTTTAGGTGTCACTTGAGGCACCTTTCAGATCAAGTCCCCTGGGTTATTTTGAAGATGAAATGATTCGGTAACACAGGGCCTATCATATAGCAAGCATTTAAAGTTACGTTAACAATTACCAGGCTGGATGTGGTGGCTCACGCCTGTAACCCCAGCACTTTGGGAGGCCAAGGTGGGT